GAACATTCTCTTACCTAAGAAAGAATTTCCATGCTTTTTGGCTGCCAGCCTAAATTCCCTATCAAGCAAATACTAATCTACTTTCTGACTCTTTAGATTTTCCAGTTTGAGACACTGCATGGAAAGGACTAATTTATATGAAATTTTGTGACTGGCTTCTTTCGCTTAGTATGTTTGTTCATGTTGTGGCATGTGTCAGTATTCATTCCTTTACATGACTGAGAAAGATTCCTTTGTGTGAATGTATCACATTGCATTTATTCGTTCAGCAGTCAGTAGACATTGAATTGTTCCCTCTGTATTAAAACATGTTAATTTAGAGTCTTTTGCTCACTAATATTGCTTCCTCAAAAATAGAGATCCATTCTTATCTGCCTATGTATCTCTTCTTTTCTATCTAGTGCAGTGCAGATATTCACTAGATGAATAAGTGAACGAGTGTATAGCTGGATAAAGCCTAAGTCTGCCTGAGGGAAACTTTGAGTATATTCTCCATGTTCTCTGAAGATGGACTCCATGGGCCCTGAGATCCAAACAGTCAACAAAATGGTCCATCTTCTGCAATCCTGTCCAAAGATTCTTTGATCAATTTGTTCAGAGAATACTCCGCTGCCCCAGAGCAGGCATCAGTAGGAGCACTGGTTTGTGGGGCTTCATTCAGTGGGAGGTCTGTGTTGTCATACATATGCACTATATGTTCATTTTTTATTTAAGAGTGTCATTGATTGTGTTTGTTCTGACTCTAGAACTATCCATGCTAGACACTCAGCTAAGAATGCACATTCAGAGCTTGAACAAATAGCAGAAGACAAGGCATTGTGGAAACATACCACACAAAAGAGTATACTGTGACTGCTGAAGTCTATAATGTAAAGCATTCAGATAAGTCTTTCCCCACACCTTTGTATATTCAAAAGTCCATGTCATATTCAATAGGGAGATTGGGAGAGGAGGTGAGTGAGGTGCTGGTGAGGGGAATAGAAGTTAACATTTAAAGAGGGCATGCAGAGAACCAGTTGTAAGCTCAGGCTTTAGGAAAGAATGTGCCCACTAGATACTGGGTCCATCATTTGCCAAATGGGAAACCCAAAGTAAGTGATATAACTTCTTTACATTCTAGCTCTCTCCTTGTAAAATGGGAACAGAAAGAGGAATTACTGCATGAAGTACTCAGATAACAGATTTAAAACACTGTGCAGCACATAGTAAGCCCTTCCTGAGCAGGGATCATGTAGGCACTCCATCCTACACCATCATCCTGGCAGTGTGGCAGTAGTCTTAATCAGCAGGTGCAAGAACTTCACTTCAGAGGTGAGAAAGTCAAGACTTAAAGAACGGATGCTGAATTTACATCATGCCACATAATCTGCCACATAGCTAAACAGTCATCTAAGTTTGGATGCTCACACTTGGGTGTGCACTTTCTAAGCTGCAAGCCCATGTGTCTTTGTTTACCAAAAAGAATTTTATGAGGCCAGCACCAACAGAGGCGCCTCTGTGCACAGGACTGGTCTAGTGAACCTTAGGCTGAGCTATCATTAAGTGGGGCTAGTAAAACATTTCCTGGGAATAAATCCTCTTTCCATTAACTCTGGGCTGGGTTAGTAGGAACTTTGCTCCCTCTGACAGCTCCTGCTTATGGAATTTGAGATGAAGTACTTACCAAGTTTATCTGAATTCTAAATCCACTAAGAAGCCTCTCTTCAGGTCACAAGGATCATTCCTGGTGTGCCTGGAAGAAGGAAGGGATCTTACAGGGGCACCTCCAAACTGACAGCCAGACCCAGAGACCTGAGGCTCATCTTCACTGTGACAAATACACATGGGAGCTGGAAACGAGGAGTAAAATTTCACACTGTACTTGACATTAACAGTAAGCCTATTACAGACCTCACAGATTTTCTGTTCCTAAAGAACACTGCATTGGTGGTCAAATAAGGCTCTCCCAAGTGCTCATATGAATGAGACGAAGGAGGCGGGAGGCTAAAAAGGCTCTCTAACTTCATTATCTGATTCTTCCAACCACTGCACGTTATGAAGAAGGCTGGAGCCTGGCTCTACTGGCCAAGCTCCCAGGGCTGGGACAGCCAAGGTATGTCTGGAAAACAGGAGGGCTTTGCCAAGGCAAGCATGCCTCATGCCAAGCAGACTAGCAAATGAGCTGCTTCTTGTATTCAGTCCCTTTAAATGCATCTTCCATGAGCCAAGGACTGTTCATATAATAAATGTAAACTCAGGGACTACTAAGTTCAAGCACTAAAAATACAGAAGCAAATACACACAAACCAAGTATGTTTTTCATCATTTTGTTTTTAAAAAATAGTAATTAATGATTTCCTGATCCTAAAAGTAATGTGCATTGGTAGAAAATGTAAATTGAATTACCTATAATCTGCAGGGAGGGATGCTGATAGTATTTTATGGTATTGGCTGCCATTGCTAGCCAAAGAAAATGGAACTAGGAAAAAGGCCAGTTAGTGAATCCTCTTAAAATAGGGTTCAAGATTTCATAGTAAAAATGTTTTTAAAGGGTTTTATTGGGACTCAGCTTGAAAAATGAAACTAAAATATTGCAAAAAATTCTTTCTCTTGTATTTAATAGCATTTGTAACATGGTAACTACAATTGCCACTCTTAGACTCGAGGCAAAAGCTTATTTGCTTCATTTAATTTCAATAACTGTGCTCAGCTGGGCATGGTGCACATACTTATAGTTCCAGCATTTTAAGAGGCTGAGACAGGAGGAGCCTACCCTTGGCAACTTAGCGACTTAGGAGCACCCTATCTCAAAATTTTAAAAAGGGTTGATATAAGTCAATGCAAAGACCCTGGGTTCAGTTCCCAGAACTGAAACAAAGAAGCAAACAAACGATGACAACAAATTTTCTCTGATTTCTAAAATAAAAGAAAGAAATGAGTGCTGGGTAAACAGTTTGGGATGTGAATTTTCCTACTATATCACTTTGCCTCCCATTTTTGTTTTTCTTTTTGGTATAATCACAGACGTATTGGTTTTACAGTGTCTTATTTCCCCCAAGGGCTTTCATTGATCTTTTAAAAATTATTATTATTTAAACCTTCATCTTCACCTTAAAGTGTTATCATCCAGGATAATGTTGACTTATATAAAACTAAATTGAAGTAACTCTGCCAGATCTAGATTGACTGTGGTTTTGCGGAGGTTTGATCAGTTTTCTCACATTCCTTTTATGAAAGCCTGCATCTTCTGCAGGTTTTGCTTTCACTGTGTTAGATTTGCACTGTATTTGAATTGGATGATCAGATTTGACACTCTTGGCAGTCAGAACACTGTATGGGTATATTGTTCACTGGTCTGTATTTTCAGTCAGCTAAGTCTCTTAAAGTCATGAGCTTTGCATAAATGTTAAAGTTCTCTAGAGTCATTATAAGCAGTGATTGGTCCATGGAGGTAGGACAAAGGAGAAGCCCTGTCCTATCAGTCTGTGTCATATACCTCTTGGCAGGTACAAGACATGTGGCCAGGATGATAAGCAACCCTCCACCACAACTCACCTACTAACATGATTCTAAGGGCAGAGAAAAACTAAATTTAGCCACATCTTCTGAGAATTGATTTTTCATTAAATTTATTTTTAAGTTGAACTTTTTTTTAATTAAAATATTTTATATTCTGGGTCTCTCTGTGACAATAGGATGTCCACTTGATTATTAGCAAGATACATGGCTCCACCCTGTTTTTTAAGGTTATGTGTTGGATGTGACCTAAAACAGGAGAATAAAGAGGTACCAGTGTTGCCTTGAGCTAAAGTGTTTACCTAATAGGGAAGAGCTAAATGAGTTTTATGAACCGCAACTAGGACAGTTTTCTCTTTTTTAATATAGATTTAAGCAAAATTAATATACATAAGTGTATTCTCTTTGTTTCTTTTCATTGCCTCTGCCCACCTGGGAGCAAAGGCCCAGCACTTGCCAGAAACCTCCCTTGTGAAGATTTGTAGTCTGGGGTTGGGCTCCCAGAAGCAGCACCTGAGATGAGGATTGTTGGGCAAGTGATTCATTTAGGAAGTAACTTTGGAGAAGAGGCATAAATGAGGACAAAGAATGTAGAGGAAATTGCTAAGCAATAATACAGACTCAGTTGATATCTGCTTCAGCCCAGGGATGTAGGGAGCTCTAAACATGAACTGTGTGGTAGAGTTGGTCCCACCTTGAGATAAAAGGGGTATACTTATGTACCATGTCAGTCATGCTTTCCTCAGAGGGTGTTATAACTCCTAGGTAAAATGACTTGCATGCAGCTGGGGCATGCTGAACCTGTCTCAGAAAGAGTTCTGGAGGAGCACCAGCACCATCTATAAGAACTCTTCGTGTGTACCAGAGCCCATACTCTGCTCTGCCTCCTTGAAAATCACAGCTGAGAGTAGAGAGAGGGGCATAGAATTAAGGCCTCACTGTGCAGAGTCCAGCCCAAAGTCACCACATTGGTAGCCTCTCCTTACCCTGATACTCATCCTCACCCTGGAGAGACTTACAGGCAGTCAGATCAATCTCACTGCAATAGAAAGAAGTGAGGCTGTAGAAAGAAGCCCTCTTTTACTTAGTGTGATATTCTTAGAATACATCATTCTTTCAACAACTAGCAAGATGTTGAAAGGTAGAATTAGAAGGTGGGCATGGAAGAAAGGGACCAGAAAGATGACTTGGTTGCCTTTTAGGTAGAACTTAGGAGGCTTATAGTTTACCTATGGTCCAACCTAGGTTACCAGGCCAGGCCAAGGATTTGGACCCAAAGTATTAGCTCAGAATAAACAGTATGATTTGTCCTATCCATTTGTCTTCTTGGGAAAACATAGGAAGGCAGCCAGGAGAGGCCTGGGGGCTTAGGGCTCTCCAGTCCATCATAGCTCCACTGACTGATGTCAGAACTGCTCCGAAGGATGTGATAGCCTTGCTGAATCCACTCTGTACAGCTGTCTTCCCTGAAGCCTGTCCATATGTTGGTGGTTTCTGTCTTGTAGGAGGAAATGGGCATCTCCTGTGAGCTGCTGGAATCAGACTTCCTCAAGTGCAGCGTGGGATTTCCTTTCATGAGGTCAAAATCAAAGGTAAGAGCAGAGCTGGGACACTTCCTTGGCCACAGGCTTCCAACCTTCCCCCAGCTACTTAACAGCAACTGTCCCCTCCCACCCTGCATCCTACAGTGGCCACTGAAGCTCTACACACTTCTGTCGCTGGTGGTCCATTCCAGAGAGACTGCATTCACATGGTTTTACTCTTTGATGCACACGATGTTCCCTTCTATGATTAATCTTGGTTGTCAAGTTGATTGGCTTGAGAGATACTGAGAAGATTAGTAAAGTACACTTCTGGGTATGTTTGAGATCAGCGGCAGGGGTATCCTTGGGCATATATCTGGTCCACAGTTCTTCCTTTCTGGTTCATCCTCTTCTCTCTGCTTCCTGGTTACCATGAATTGAACAGTTTTTCTTTGCTAGTCTACATGATGTTTGTACCCTGATGCCAGCTGGCCACAGATTGAAATTCTGCAACCAGGAACCAAAATAAACCATTTTACCTTAAAGTTGATTTTCTCAGGTATTTGGTCACAGCAACAAACAAAGCTGACTAAAATATCCCTTAAATGGGAAGTCACATCACAGACTTCTTTGGCAAGCAGTATTTGATTGGCCTTCCTAAAATGTCTAGTTCTGAACACAACACAGGAAAAGATATGGTGTGGGCTAGTGACCCAAAACTCTGACTCTGGAACTCCCCTGGACATTCGGAAATCTCTCAGAATTCTCAACCACAAATAACTGTATGCCACTTGCTGTTGAAAAGTAAAAGAAATTTCAATGACTTTGGAGTTTACATGAAGTTCCATAATGTAGTACAACATACCCAGACTTCCATGGAACATTTAGTGTGTGCTGTGGTTATAAGGAGTTAAGAAGATGGTTAAAAGATTGGTTTTGGCAGCAAAACTAGAATCTAAGAGACCAAGTCTGTCTTTTGAAATGAAAGCTATTTCCCCTGGTGAGATTTAAAAGAAAATTAATCTCCTTTATCTGCCTCTTTTCTTCCTAAAAAATAAAATCATTCTTCTCTCCTCGCTATGTGATGCAATCAAATTATTTTAATCTTTCAGGCTTTTTGCTGCCAGTACCCCAGTAGTTGTTTTGAAAACAATGGTAAGAATAGTCTAGTGAAATAAAAGATTTGCATATGTCTTAGAAATCACTCAAATTCACCAGCCCAATGAATGTACCTGTTCCATATCACAGCAGCTATTATGTCCATGATTCCTCAGCTTGTCTCTGGCTCCATTCCTCCTCTTCACATTCAGCCCAAGAAAAGGGAAACCTTGAGAAGTAGTTGCTCTTAGGAGATGAATTATACATGTCTGGCAGAAGACAGGTCATGTCCTGTTAGTTTTCAGGTTAGTGAGGCTGGGAATGAAGGATGCAGAACTTGAACCATGGACAGCCATAGCTGTAGTGAAGCATGTAATACCCACCCACACATATACATGTAATATTTTGAATAGCAGAAAATAAACTCAACTGAAAAACTTCTAAATTTCCATTTCATTATAAAATCCACCCAAATCAAATCTAGAATATTTCTTACTATCTTTGGTAGAATGTTAAATTCTACTGAAATTTATTAACTGTTAAAATAGACATGAATCAACAGAAGTATGAATATTAGAATGTTGAGATTTTTTTAAGCTGGCAATGCCCGTACTTTCTTCCCACATGTAGTAGAAAGTGAGAAAGCCCAACAAGTCACCCAGAGTGGGCAAGGCCCCGTGTGCCACCTAGGTCACCTTTCCTTGTCCTTCAGACCCTGGGGTCATGGGGCTTTGGGCCATCTGCTAAGCTTCACGACAGTACTGTTGACTCACTTTGGTTGACTGTATGCTCTGTCACTCATGGTCAACCTGCCTGCTTTCAGGCCTTCATCTCTGACCGTTACTTCTTGCCAAATCACTTACCCTCACCTCAAACCTTCTCTTTAGTGGGGCTAGTTCAGATCTCCTGCCACTTCTGACTCTACTGAGAAAAGACCCTCGATTCTTCTCTTCTTTGTGTCCTCCAGCCCTACTTTTTGCCCAGCTCTGCTCCACTCTCCCTATAAACTGACAGATCCACTGCAACAGAAATTTCTGCATAGAAAGAGACATTGTGTCCACTGTAGATGAAAATTCAATATAAATAGTCCATAGTCAGTTACTCTCAGGTAGCATTCAATTCAGTAGAATCCAGTGTTGTAAAAATCAGACCATTGCCTAGAATTAGTCATAATGGAATCTAATTTAGATAAATTAAATAAGTCATAGGCTCTCAGAGCTTAATGAAATTTAAGAATTATTTTGTCTGGCCTCCTCCTTTTACTTAAATGCAAAGAGATTAAGTATCTTGACCAAGGTCACATACTTTGTGGTAGATTCTGGGTTCTACAACCCCCACCCACATTTCGTCTCATATTCCCTTACATGCCTGGCATATATATGATGAAAATATTTTTATGGTGCTGTTACCCAAAACACAGAATGCTCACCACTGAAACACAGAATTCACATACTAAGATGACTTAGGTGCTTTATAGAATTATTTTGGGTGATACACTGGGCATAGCACTAACAACATTGACTTCAACAAAAAGAAAATTATTACTTTTTGCTTAAGTCACTCAGACTTATATAACAAGTAATACAGAATGGGTGGCCTAAAAAAGTAGACATTTATTTCTCAGCATTCTGAAGATGAAGGAGTATAAGTATAGGTGCTAGAAGATTGGGTTCCTGACAAGGGTAGTCTTCCTGGTTTTTAGACAGTCACTTTTTCTATGTGTGTTCACATGGCCTTCCCTTGGTTATGCATATACAAAGAATGATATCTCTGCCTTCTTTTTTTAGGAGGGTACTAATCCTACAATGAGAGCCCCACCCTCACAATCTCACCTAAACCTAATTACCTCCCAAAGGTCCCCTCCAAATATCATCACATTGGCCGTTCAAGCTTCAATGTATGAATTTGGAGGACACAGAAACATTTAACCCATAACTCTTCAACACTGTGCATGCTAACTAAGGATGTTGAAAATTTCTAATAGTGCTAGAATATCTTCAACATTTGCCTTTCACCTGCCAGTCTCACTTTTGAACAAAGACAGACTAGACTTTCGGCTCAGAGGCCTCAGCAGCCTTCAGGATTTAACATTTTTGTTTATGACTACCTTTTCGTTAGGGTAAGTGGTTTGGGTTCCCATCCATGATAATAACATAAATTGTTCTTTTAAAGTAATCTTTAAACTAGAAGACTAAGGCCACAAAAATGTGAAATAAATACCACAGCTGGCATGATAGATGGATGTGACTAAATTGGGAAGGTGTGATGCAAGAGAAATTTAGTGTGTCCTAGTTTAAGAGTTTGAATATGTCACTTCCTATAGGGAATCTCAGTGGCTGAAAAAGGACTTGGTTTTGCTGTGAAAGCTGTGTCTTTGGTATGACAAGCAGAAAGATATGCGTAAAAAATTAAGTTTGTCATGCAGATGAGCTTCCAGGGGTCATAAGGTGGAGAATGTTATAGCCAGCCTGGTTTAAGTGCAGCTTGCTTACTGGAGCCAAATGTCACTTTATTTTTCCCTAGTATGATTTCAGCGTAATCTTTGATACAAGCCACCTGTCTGGGGAAGAGGACGTTCTCAGCTTCATCATTACTGCTCAGAGGTAAGGGGAACCTAAACATTTTTGTAAAAGATAAATGATTTATGGGACTAGGAAAGGGCATGCTCTGGTCATACTTTGATGATTCCCAGAGTGCTGAGGAGAGAGGGACAGTTACTCAGTGGTAAAGTCCCAATTGCTGAATGGGATCAGATCTTTTGGGAATGGTAAATATCTAATTCTACTTGCCTACCCACCACTTCCAATTGAACTGGGAAGGGCTGGAAGTCAACCAGTTGGAGGTAATGATTCTACAGCTGAAGAGAGACAGGGCCATGGAGGTGAAGTTGTTGTAGTCCAAAGTCAATTCCTGCTTGGCCGTATGTTTCCTAAATGAGAAAGATGTCCTCTTTGAGTTTTCTGGCTGGGCCAACAGCTTCACAGGGATATGCAACTACACCTCTTAATGGAGAGGAGAAGGACCTGCTATGAGGTCCTGGTCAGCTAGGGAAGGAGATAGTGGGTGATCACCCCTCCCTTCAAGAATATGAGTAACTTGGGCATCTAAAACAGCCTTTTGGGAGTTATGAGATGCTTTCTTGAGCCAGGATCGACTCATGTCAATCTAGGTAACACCTAGGGAACAACTAACATCCAGGTAACAACTAACTTTAATGGCTAGTATGCAGGGGGATGCAATCAGGTTGGTGAATAAAGAGATACAAACTTTGATGGGATAGTGGTTAGACCTATCCATTTAAAATTTATTTAGAAGTGATTTTAAACATAGTAGATATGTTGCAAAATAAACCAAAAATAAAAACTCTCCTCTATATCCTTTTTCCAGATTCATCCTGTGTTAGCATCATTCCTCATTTATTTTATCATTCTCTTTCTATATATAAATTTTTCCTTAACCATTTGCAAGTAAGTTGAACAAATCATGCCCCTTGACGCCTATATATTCAATGTGCATTCCAAAGAAGGAGGTGCTTAAGTAAACACCATATAGTTAGCAAATTCAAGAAATTTAACATTGATGCAATGCTAATATCTAATCTACAGTTCATGTTCCAATCATGCTTATTGGCCCCAGTGATATATTTGCAGCCACTTTTTTTTACTGGTTCAGAAGACTTGTTATTTTCTGTTCACCTTATTTTCAAGATCTCATAATTCATGTTCATGTAAAACATGACTATGATCTAGTAGGACCACATGCAAAGTATAGAGAGGAACTCCGTACCCATAGCTGGAACCCAGGAAGACTTCCCTGGGGAGCTGACTCTAGAGGAGTCTATTTCCAGCTTGAGACACACAGGCAGTGTGTCTGTAGTACAATCTGATGTGCTCATCCATGAATGGTGGACATGGAGTGGATGAGATTTATTGGTCATCTTAGAGGAGGCTGGGGAGTGTTACAATAGCAGTAGAAGATTGGGTAGAAAGTAGAGCCAGTTGTGGCATGTGCCTGTACCTCAATCCCTCTGGGAGGCTGAAGCAGAAAGGTCACAAGGCATGCTAAGCAATTTAATGACTTAATAAGACCCTACCTCACAATAAAAATAGAAAATTAAAAGAGGCCTGGGAATGTGGCTCAGTGAAAAGGCTCTGGGTCCCTTCCCCAATACCAAACAAACAGAAGAGGAGCCTGAACTGAACTTTGGTGACAGAGCCTCAGAAAATCTGAACCATATTCCTGTAGCAATGAGGAGCCACCAAAAGGTGTTGAACAGTAACCCAAGCCAACAGCTTGACCACAGAGCATAAGATAGTTGAGTTTAATGCAAGAGGTAGATACTTATTCAAATCTAAAAGTTCTCACTCTTATTTCTTGGATCCATAGAAAACTCACCACTGAGAGGCAGACCCTTCAGTGTGCTCTCAGTCTTTCAGCACCTAAAGGCAGCCATGCGCCTGAGAAGGAGCATGACATGATGACATGAAGAGGATTTCCCTTGTCAGAAAGAGGAAACTGCCTGCTTCCCAACCTCATTTGTGACTCATCAGGGAGGGTCAGAGAGGGCGATGAAAGATCTATTAGAATAGCCTGTTTGTCAGCCAGTGGTGCTCTGGTCTTAGATGCACACTGACATCATCTAGGGAGCTTTAAAATGTCCTGAGGCTTGGTTCATGCCCCTCCCCATACACACACACATACACACACATGTACACACACAAACGCATGCACGTGTGCGCGCGTGCACACACACATGCACACACACAAACGCACGCACGTGTGCGCGCGTGCACACACACACACAGCATCCTGAGATGTGACTTAATTGGTCTAGGGCAAGCACTAGGCACTAAGATTTTTGAAAAGGCTGCTCACATGATTCTAATGAGCAACCAAGCCTGAGAGCCACTCTCTGTGTTCCCTTACACTGTGCCAGACACATTATCACTTGACACATGCACTTATTATTTGCAGTTGTGCACTTATTTGCAGTTGCTGTGCTAAATGTGGACCACATAAGAAACTGCTAGTCACTGAGTAAATTCAAGAATATCCCCTTCTGCACATTAATATTTTTTCACAGGCTCAGGGGAGACTTAATATTTTTTAAAGTTAATTTTGTTGGTATACTTTTGATATGCATACTGATCACACTCATTATAGAGAATTTGCACCGGTGCATAATATATCCTGATTTTTCTTTTTTCTCCCCATTCACCTCCCCTCTTCAACCCTTCTTCCCCTCCTTACTTATAAAAGCTCTGTTTCCATGTTTTTTTCTAGTCCCCCTTCTTTCCCCTTCCTTTCGTCTTCCCCCATCCTTGTTCCCCTTCCATTCAGATACTTTCTTCCTACTTCCCAGTATAAAAATTTTTGGTTTCTCAAATCACAAATGTGAAGGTGATCACATTATCTTTTAAACACACAAGGGGATATTTCAGGCCCTTGCTTCTTTTCAGGCCTTGGTAGAAATCTGACCTTCCTGCCCCAGAGGAACTCACAGCACTTGACTCCCAGCTACACTGGGCAAATCCTTAAAGCTCCTTATCTTGAAAGCCACAGTTAAATTATCAGTTATTCTTCAGTCACACCCATGGAAAATCTCTTGCCTACTTGTAGATTTAGGAGGTCATAACACTGACACTAAACAGTGGTTAGAGATCTGTCCTCTCCATGGCCCAGGGGGCCTGGCTTTGCCCCCAGATCATTGGAAAGCATCCTAGCAAGCGGGGTTGCAGGGTGGTGGGAGCCTTTTGAGGTTTGGTCTCTTTTATCTCAACTGTTCAACTTGGCTTGTTCTCAAGCCATCACCTGATGACAGATGAGACCACTGAGCCTGAGCTGCCAGCAGCCACAGGTGGCTGAACAAATGGCAGACAAGGGGTAGCTCTTACATAAGGAGCTGATTACTCAACCTGGCAGAATGCTGGCATAGAAGACGGGAGGAAAAGAGGCTGGGATGATACCATCTGACTGGCAGAGGAGCCACCTCTGGTTCATCCATGTTTGTGATTCCTGGGCTTTGACTCCTCCACATTGGAAAGGAAGGATAAGGAAGTTAGGCTGGGCCAGCAGCTGGCCCAGCTGTCCTATTGATGTCATCTGACCCCAGGGGTAGTGAGTCTGACCCTAAGGGGTCAAAGACATCTAGCCTATTGTTTTAGAACAATAGGAGAGAGGAGAAGGGATGTAGGAGCTATTTAAGTATTATTTCTACTCAGCACTTGCTGGGTGGGAGAGGAAGGCAGTGGGGTGGTGAAGAGAGGGAGGCATAGAACAGGCCGAGCTCAGCAGGTGCTCAGTGAATGTGATGAGTGAGTGGTAGGGATGAGCAAGTGCCTGAACCTCAGCAGATCTGAGAAACTTTTATGTTCCATCACTGGAGGGTGAACTTGGCATCAAGATAAGGAATCACAGCAAAAAAAAATAAATAAATAAATAAAGCCTTGGTTTGGAGTCAGACTGAGCCGGTTGGAACCTCAGCTCTGACTAGCTTACAGGAGGGCCACAGTATATCCGAACTGCTCCTCACTTGTCAGTTGTGTTCTCACCTAGAGTTACAGTGAAGTTACTGCAAACTCATGCCACTGATAAGTGCCCGGCGGGTGCATGCACACAGAAGCCATCCAGCAGCAACAGCACCTTGCGTTCCCCATTGCAGAATCCCCATTCTCTGCTTTTTCCCCCAAGGGAGGGGATACCTTGGTGAGAAATGTTCCCATCGGAGTCTGGCAAGAGTGTCTGAGAGGTTCATCATGGCACTCTACTTGGCTGTCCATGGAGGGTGGGTGAGCCTCCCAATTAGCAAATACCTACTAAGGCCTAGCTACCAGCCCTTCCTGGCTAAGTATCCTAACCTCACTGATACATCATGGGACAAGCTTTTACAGAAGTAGCATCTGATAGAATTTTCAGCACAGAAGGGAACCATCTGATAGAATTTTTGGCACAGCTAAAAAGTTAAGAAGTATGAAATAAAAGTGGCTTTTAAGAATGTGGAGAGAGACTCTATGACCTCTGGGGGTCTGGCATTCTGTTCGCCAGACACGTGGTGTAGGGGCATACATCTAGCTTAGGTTTGGGGTGGTGCCTAAGGGGCATTAGTGATGCACAGGTAGCCCATTGGTATTCATTTCGCGCCACAGGTAAAATGTCTAGGGGCCGGAAAGGTGACCTCAAGATAGAGCCCCTTGGTCCCGCCTCTCAGCCTTCCACTGGCTACAGTGTCCCATAGAGTCAAAATCCTTTCAGCATCCACAGTGGGCTCTCTTCATCTATAGCTCCTCAGCACATCCACTGCGTAGTCTTGCCGTCCTTACGAGGCTGGCTCTGGCCAGCGCCCACTGACCTGCAAGACAGACAGAGAGACAATTCATGTCTGCTCTTTGCCTCTGCTGCAGCAGGTTTCTAGGTTTAGTGGACAAAGGCCCAGCTTACATAGCCTCAGTTGGGAAGGCTGAGATGTATGCTGTACATTGTCTTCCAGAGTCTTCCAGGGAGACTAAGCCCCAGCTGCCTCCATTTCTAGTCTCCCAGATGACATATCTTTGTTGACTTCTTTCTCTTCACAGTCTTCCTCTCCATTCCCTGGCATCACCTCGTAGATAACCTACCTGTTCCCACATCTTTGTGAGTGAAACACATAAAATTGTTGAGTATCCGCTGTGCTTCTGCACAAGCAACTTTGGTGCCAAAAATGGAGCCAAGGACAAATAAAGTGAGGCTGCTGTTGGAGAATGGAGACATTCTGCAGTGAGGGAGATCAAGCTGAACAGCTTGTCTGAGCCAGTTACTTCATTTTCTTTCCCTGCACAGTGGTAATGTGGAGCGCTCTGAAGCCCTGCTTGACAACACTCTTATACTGACGGTGCCGCTGGTGCACGAAGTGGATACATCCATCACTGGGTGAGTAGCCCAGTGCAAACCTGGGTGGTTCAGCGGTACCCTCCAATTGGATGCTTTGCTGTTTTGTGTTCAAATGTGTTACCAGCTAGGAGCAGTGGCCTTGCCACTCCTTTTCTTCCAGCCTTGGAAAGCAGGATGAAGCCTTAGTTGTACCCTTCTCTTTCCTTATTTCTCTGTCCTACCTACCTATCCACCTGGCTAGTGACACCAGAAGTTTGATGGCAAATCTTGTAATTTCCTGAACATTCTGTACACCTTTATATGCATCTGTTCTCATCTTACCTCCACCATAATGCCATAATGGTGGCTAGAGTGTAGTTCTTGGAATTAAAATCTCAGCCAGAGATTATTGCCAGATGTGTTTCAAGCCTTGGTTTACAGCATGGCTACTCTTCTGACTAGCTGCATAATTGGCACTGGCTTTTGTGTTTTTCTGTTACTTCCTTCTGCCGAGCCACAGATGGTTCTGCCCAATGTCTGTGATGGCCTCAAATGGTTAGGGAACTATCAGGACAGCCACATTATCTGTACAGGTGAAGACCACAGCCACACAGTGCTGCTGTGGAAAGCTGTTGGAAAGCAGGACAGTAGGCTGTGGTCTGCAGAGAACCCAACAAGCCAGGTCAGTTTTCAGCCAAAGGCTATGCTAGAAAAATGAGAACTCAACTTCTGCTCCCAACTTCAGCAAACAGAATACATAGTGGAAAAAATTTGCACAATTGGTTTAGATCAAATGAAGAATCATTGAACCTTTGACCCAAATGCAAGCCGAACTTCCTGGAGGTTCACAGTTTCTGTTTTTCATTTTTCAAGTGCTGCTGGGTCTCTTTCTTGGCTAGAAGAAGGAATGTTAATATGTTTGAGAGGAGCCATGCCTACAATAGCTCCTGCCCTGCTGAGAGCCAGGGGAATAGATGGCCTTGCTTTTGTGTGCCTGAGCTCTTAGAGTTTTTCATATTTTCTAGACATGAGGCATTATTGGTATAAACTTACAAATTAGCATGTATTTGCCTCTCTTCACAGCTCTGTTTTTAACCATATGGTTTATTTGTCCTGTCAAGAAAAGTGAGAATTACCCAGAACCAAGCCTTTTCCTCTTAGGGATAAAGAGAAAACACCACCCACACATGTCATTAGGCCTTAGGAGACCTCACTGTGAGGTGTTAACAGGCCCTGATGAAGCCATCAGGTAAACAAATGAGTCAACCCCTGATCTTTTCAGGAACCCAAAACAGTGTAAGTTTAGACGAAGCAATTCTTGACATTTGACAATGTTTGGAATGCACTGTATTGCCAAAATAATGTGCTTAAACCGAAAAAAGTTGCATTGCTCTCTAGTGGGACTCAGTCCCAAAAATTTTAACTCAGTTGTGCTTAGGTAAGTAGTGGCTTTGAGTATCTAGGATTCATTATTTGTGTGGGGGTGTCAGTATAAGCTTTGTTCCTTTTCAAGGGTTTGTTCATGGTAACCAGATTGAAAGTATTGTTACACTCTTAGCTTGAATTCTTAAGATAGCCTCTATCTGAAATATGAAAGGAAATGCCATCACTGAATTGACTTGACTTTTAGATACCTAGTTTTTAGTAAGCATGATAGTCTGACAAATTTAAATTAAACTTTTGAAATGAATATATGTCAGGGTAAGATTGAGTACCAAATATATAATTCATTTACATGTATTCTAAAAGTTTATTATAAGCTTCCTTGATCCACAAAATGTTTTTCAAGTGACAAAACAAAATGTATAATTTTTATTATACAGGTTTGTTTGTTTGAAGTCCTACTGGAGATTGGGCTTAGGGCCTTTATGCTGAGCTATATCCCTTGTTTTTAAATATTTTGACATGGAGTTTTTTTTTTTGTGTGTGTGTGTGTGTGTGTGTGTGTGTGTGTGTGTGTGTGTGTGTGTCTTTTTCTTTTCTCTTTTTTATCGGTACCGGAGATTGAACTCACGACTGCCTGCTTGTAAGGCAGGCGCTTATGCCGCTGAGCTAAATCCCCAGCCCTGACATGGAGTTTTGTTAAATTACCCAGGCTAGGTTCAGACTCCCCGTTCTCCTGCCTCAATGCCTGACTTTATGATCCACGTTTTAAAAAGGTTACTGTAGCACTAATTGTTAAAACTTCCTCATTTTAGAAATTTAATCCCAGTATCTAGGTACCTAACATATATGTAGCTTAGTGATGCACTTTAAGGCTAGAAGATAAACTAGAAATTTCTATTTAGAAACCAGACTGGCTAATCTCCTCACAGGAGAGAGAATAAAGAGTCCCAAAAAGTAAACAGTGGGAGACACTGGAATAAATACAGATAGATGTTTGCATTCTCAGGATAGTAGGTGCTTGACTATGGTTTGTGGTGACAGTATTCATGCTTTCCTTTTCAGGATCGTGTCTCCAACTTCATTTGTGTATGGTGAATCTGTGGACACATCCAACTTCATTCAGCTGGATGACCTGGAGTGTCATTTTCAACCCCTCAACATAACCATTCAGGTAACATACTGGAAAACACCTGTTACTGAGTGCTAACAGAAGGCCCCATAGGATGAGTCTCCTAATAAAGGGAAGCTAAAGGGCTTTCTTGTTTCAGGAGAAACACTCCCTAGTCTGGTTTAATGTGTGTGTGTGTGTGTGTGTGTGTGTGTGTGTGTGTGTGTGTGTATTCTCCGTATAACCCCATGTGCAGACCCTTGTACTTTCCGTGACTTGGAAAGAGAGGTACCATAAAATGAACATCAGCTTTCCCACCAAGGCTTGTCTGACTGAGCCAAGACCAGTGTCCCAACCCATGTACATGGTCCTATAGGAACCCTTTGTTTTCTCTGTAATTCTCTATGTTAGGGGCAGCAGAGCTTTAGAGGATCGGTTGCATCCCATTCCTCCTGGAGTTTCCATGCTCCATAATTCAGGAGCCCACTTCTCCCCCAGGGAAGCAGCTTTTGGGAAGTGTAACTTTACGAGGCAAAGCACTGTGCACTGATGTAAACCTTCACAGAAAGAAGTATGCTGCTCCCTCACTGCGCTGGGGCTGGCTCATCTCAGGCCCCTCAGGTCACTTCCAGCAAGTCCACTCAGTGTGGACTGTGGGCATCATGAAGAACACAGTCCCTTCTCTTGATTATGGGTTGTAAACTTTTTTGAAAATGCATAGCAGGTAGGAATTATAGGCTTTGTGAGCCACGTAGTCTGTATGGCAACAATTTGACCATGTAGCACCAAGGCAGGTATGAACATTACAAAAATGAAACCTTAGCTATGAGCACAGAAAGTTAAGTTCCACATAATCTTTACATAAGATGCTATTACTCTATACTTTTTCCAGCCATTTAATGATATAAAGTGATGATTCTGAGCTCACAAACTGTATAATAGGAGACACTGGACCTCTGTGGTGATAGTTTGCTGACCCCTGCTTTTAGAATGTGAACTCTCACAGCTGTTCATCATGTGACTCTATGATTGTAAAGCTGGAGGGACCTCAGCTTTATCCAGTCCATGCCCCTCTCAGCTGACAGGGACATGTAGGCCCAAGTGAGAAAGGATATATGGGATGAAAGTCCTAGAGCTGGCTGATGTGCAGCGAGAGCCAGCACTACTCAGTGATTACCTAGACTCACATGGACCAGCCCCTGGCCGGAGCTATACATGAAGGAAAAGTGGCCCACTTTACCCACAGTGTGTTGGAGTCCACATCTTACTATTTTTGCTTCCACAGCTCTTGCTCTGCCTCTTCCATCCTTCCTTACAGAGAGAATGATTTCTCACTCTAGTATTACTACTACAGCCAAATAATGATTATTTTCCTTCCCTGTGACCTCTCCTAACTGGACTTAGAGAATGACAAATAATGATAGGGTGAGGGTCCAGAGAATGAAGCAGTAAAACATTTGTGGGCTCTTGAAACAATGGTCTTCCTCTCTCCAGCATTCTCCCAGGCAGGAGGCCCCCAGAATCATGATGTATAACACATGTCCCCAGCACACAGAGGATGTGCCTCTCAACCAGCTAAGTCCCATCTGTCACACCCTGCCCTTGATTTATAAGAGAGGAAGGGGAAAACGGGGTTAGGGCTTAGTTTGGAGACTGTAGAGCAATGGCTGTGAATCATACCTCTGTGTTTCTGAATTGCTTCTCAGAGTTAGTTTATGTTTTTCCTTTGTGTTTTTCAAGTAGGTGGAAAACAGATAAAGACCAGATGGATTTATTTAATTTTGGTCATTTATACTCTTTTTTTAAAAGAGTTTTTGATGTGTCTTGCATTAAAAGATTTTTAAGAAAATTATTTGGAAATGACTAGACCACATAATGAAAAGGGTACAGGTGTTGAAAGAAGCAAGTGGAGAAATAGTAATTTACACAAATGCTACTGAATAATGTAGCTTGCTGAAAAAGGAAGGAAGAGGAAAGAAGAGAAAGAAATCTAAATCATGCAGTTTATTCTTCCAGTTGTTTCTTTGAAAATATTTTTACAAGGAACTTAAAGTTTGGTGTTTAGGCAAATAGTTGTCTTCACATCTGCCCTGAAATATGACCCAGGCTGCTAGATTGGACTCTGAGGAATGAGTGATTGGCACGTCTGTTAAATAAACTGCTCAATGAGCCATTGCCTGAACAAGTACACAGCTTTCAATCCAAGACTGAGACAGTCAGCTGGGTCTCAGAGACTGATGGTATATGCAGTTGTCTGGGAGGAGATACTTGTGTTATCAGTACCCATTGTTTCCTTGAGAATTCTCTGACAACTCATTTTCTGTATAATTGCCATTAGTGGGAAGGTCACTGACCAAACAGGTGGTAATAATGACCAGAAGGTAGAGATAGTCAGGGAGAAAGGGGTCAGGCATATGGAGAAACTCTTGTATGTCTCCACCTTCCAGCAACAACATTCCTAAAGAATAACATAAGACTTTGCTTATGAACATATTTTTCTGTGTCTTTTAAAATCTGTTATTCAGAGGGGAAAAAATGGCGGCTTGATAGGGGGCTGGATGGAGAGCCTCTGTGGGGAAAGCAGCTCAGATGCTAGAATTTGACAGCATAGAGAGGGCCAGACGATTGGAGGATGATTTTTATTAAGCCAGGAGGAACTCAAAGGGAAAATAAAGTTAGGAAGAGGAAGGAAAAGCGCGGGTGGAGGGCTGTAGCCCGACACGCTCACTGAGACCCGTTCTGTGCTGTGCTGGGTGTGCCCTGGAGTCCAAGGATCCAAAGTCGCGCTGAAGCCACAGCAGCCAATAACGGGAACCGATGAGTCCCTGGCCCTTGACAGGAAGACGTGGCACAGTCTAGAATGGAGCCAAGGGGGAGAGCTTTATTGGGTCTCTGTAAGTACTAGAAAATGGGTCCCTGGGCCCTGCGCAGGAGGAGGCCACGGAGAGGACCCTGTGCCTGGGTGCCAAAGTTGGGGGCCGTGCAGTTTTCTGAAGAGGCAGAATGCTGATCTAGACATGGAAAAACCACATCAAACTAGAACTACCTCTGCTGAAGAAGGAAAAACACAAGTGGAGGGCTGGAGCCCTGCGTGCTGACTGAGACTGGTCTGTGCTATAGTGGGAGCGCCATGGAATCAGGCGATTCAAGGTGGAGCTGAAGCTATGGCCGCTGATAATGGGAATTGTAGAGTCCCGAGCCCTTGGCGGGAGGATGCTGTGCAGCATGGAGTGGAGTCAAGAGGAAAAACTGCATTGATTTCCGGTGAGTGCTTGGGATTGGGTCCCACAGCTGCTGTCACTGGCTGAAGGACATCTTGGAGTTGGTCAGAGCCCGGTGCTGCGGTGGTGTCAGTCAGCCACCCTGGTGCAAAGAAGACTGGTCGACTGTGCTGGGGCTAAGCTGCACCTCTGGTTGGTACCCAATAGCCAGGGACAAAAAGGTTACGACTCTGTGATGTCCACAAGGTACAACCGAAGTCGCTCAAGGAAATTGCTGGTTGACTGGCTCAGAGACTCAAGGCTAGCCTGCACTGTCCATGCATCTTTGCCTGTACCTCAGATAACAGCAAATTGGGGAGGGTAGCAAAACCCCAGTCAGAACACTTCGGAAAGACCCTAAGCAATACAGAGAGGGCCAGAAACCCCAGGACACACCTGTCTGAAAGAAACCAGAAACATGACAAGAGATAGAAATTTAAAACAACCTCCAGCTGCTGACCCTGGGAAAATAAGCCCAGGAGAGGTAAATACAGAAGAGAAACAATGCAGTAATCATGCAATATTAGACACAGTATCAGCGGACATAAAGAAATACCTTTGTGACCTCATAGACAAATTTAAAACTCTACTTCTGATCCGAGTGAGGCAAGATATAAATAGATTAATTAAAGAAATGATAAGCCCCTCCCAAGAGAACACAGATGGAAGAACGGAGGAACTCAGAAAAGGAAGAGAAGCCTTTGATGAAGAATATAAACAAAATCTAGAATACATGAAACAGATCCAAAGAGATTACCAGGAAACTAAAAGCTCCATTGAAGGCTGACAAAAATGCCTTGACAGAAACTAAAGTTAGTGTTTTGAAACTTGAAGAGAGAGCTATGATGTGTGATTGTGAAAGAAAAGATCTTTTAAAAAAATAACAAGGAACCAGGAAGAAACAATTCAAAGGCTAGAAGATGACAAGAGGATTTATAACTTACGAATAAAAAACATGAACGAAGAAGCAAGAATAACCACAAATGAACTACAAAGACTATTCACAGATATAATTAAGGAAAACTTCCCACGCATAGGAAAAAGAAATGATATCCAGATAAATGAAGCATATAGTACTCCAGCCACCTACAACCAAAACAGATCTACACCCAGACATATAATAATCAAGATTCCAGAAATTCACCATAAAAACAGAATATTAAAAGCAGCCAGAGAAAAGAAGCAGATCACCTACAAAGGACAAATCATCAAAATAACGACAGACTTTAACATAAACTCTCAAATCAAGAAGAGCCTGAGGGGAAATACTTCAATCCCTAGAAGAAAATAACTTCCAACCAAGACTGATGTACCCAGAAAAACTCTGTCTCACAATTAATGGAGAAACAAGATATTTCCAAGACAAGGAGGAACTGTGGAAGTTCATGGCCACCAAGCCAACCCTACAAAAAATACTGAAGGACATTCCAGAGAGAAAGAGGAAAAAATACCAGGATTCCAGCAACAGTGGCAGAGAGGCCTCAATGAACGGGTCAGACCTGGAATGAAGCAGTAAAGTGAACAAATAAAGGCAGAAAAATAGAATAGCAGAAATGAGGCAGAGATGGTAAGCTATAATCTTTAATATAGATAGCCTTGATACACTAACAAAAAAGGAACATAGGCAGAGTAGATTAGGAGGCAGGATCCATCGAGATGCTCTGAATAGGAAATACACTCAACCTGAAAGAAGGTTAATAAACTGAGAGTCAAAGATGAGAAAACAATGCTGTATGTGACAGGAAACCAGAGAGAAATAGGGAAAACTTGTCCAGCAGCCACAGATAGATTGGAAGGCTATGA